TTTGGCGGGTCCGGGCTGGGGATTCGAACCCGCCACCTTAGGTGTATGTGGCTGGCGCCTTAGCCGGTTGAGCTATAGGCGCCGAGCCTCCCACATCTCTCTTAATAGCATAATTCCAATGTTTTCTAGCCCAGGAACCTCAAGAGAGCCTCCTGTCTGGCAGTCCCATGACAGTTAAAAGGTGAGAAGCAGCAATCCTGGGTTGGTGAGGTAGGGAGACTGGGAAGGGAAACCAACTCTCCCTCAACCTTTGAAGGATATGGGGCTAGGCTGGGACACTGGGGACAAATTTTAGGGTTTGGTGGGAAAAAGGTGTGACTCAGTTTATACCCCATCCTCAATGACTTGCCTTAGGAACTGTAAGTATGGAGAAAAGACTGCCTTGGACTGAGTCATTATTAGGCATCAATGACCAAGCAGGACACTCTCAAACCAAAAAGTCTCTTTATTGATCAGTACCATACATGACTCAAACGGCAAAAAAAAAAAAAAAAAAAAAAAAAGGCATTACAGTTGGTTTGGGTGGGATAGCCACCCTCCTCACCGCTTCCCCTCAGCTTCTGACAATACCCTTTTAAAAGTGGTAGCAAACAGGATGTGTGGGATCCCGGAATCCAAGGGGAAGAGTGGGGAGAGAGGTGGTGTTAACAATCCCTGGGACTGGCCACCGGAAAGGCAGCAGAGCCACAGAGCTGGGCCTAAGTCCCTGGGACCCCTGGCCCTAGGCCTTCATGTGTCCAACTGTGAAGTACAGCTGAGGAACTAGCTAGGTGCCTCTTCTCTTCTGAGGAAGGAGAGGGAGGGAATACTGGGAGATGATGACCCTCTACTTCAGTTGGGTGGACAGAGACCTATTTCTCCCAGGTGGGCTTAGAGCTGAAACATCTTCAGTGGCCCCTTTCCCTCTGGGGACGGCAGGGTAGAACTAAATGTGCATTTTGAGGGGCTGGGGGAAGAGGGTTCTGGAGAATAGATGAGCCCCTCTCCCATCCCATGTCTGCCCAACTGAGACAAAACAAACACAGTGACAAACAAGGCTGCTCCCTTCCCTCCACACTCCCTACAGTATGAAGCCTCCCTCTCCCCCCATCCAAGACAGCTGCTTTAGTGGAGGACTTGTAAATATACACATCATGGGATGGGGGCAAGGCCAGGACAGAGGGCAGTCACAAGCACTGGGAGGATAGGTCAGAAACTAGAGGATGGGCAGACAGAGACAACAGCAGGAAACTGTCACAAAGATGTGGCCTTTTATGGCCTCCCCACCCCATGGCATGCCTTTCTCAACTCTAGTCACCCCAGAGGAAAGGGAAAGAGATGGCAAAGTGTGTCCTTGGTCTGAAGCTCTCAAACTGTATAAAATGGTATGCATATCCCCTTGCCCCCACTCTCACCCCCACCTGGGCCCAGGGTCCCCACCCCCAATCTGCCAGGAGTAGGGAGGTAGCTGGACTTTTAATAGAGGGAGAGGGGGAACATGAGTGATTTTTTTTAAACTTACATTTTTAATAATATTATTTTTTTAAAAAACTTGGAGCTGGGATAAGTGGCAGAAGGGAGAAGGAGCCCAGAACTTTACCCTTCTGCTACCAGTCACCTAGGGAGAGAGGCATTTGACCAAGCCCCATATCTTTTAAGTCCCTAAGGGCTGTAGGTACAGATAACCCCAGGCTTGAAAGGGATAAAGTCAGGAGGATGGGGAACCCAGAATCTGGGATGAGGATGGAGGCAAATGCCCTGGGGGTGGTCAGGACATTTCTCAGAGACCCAGGGTCCATGTAGGCATCCACATGAGTACCCCCTTCCCCCAAAAGGCTCTGCAGGGGCCAGGCCCAGCCCAGGGCCACTGGGGGGCAAATCTTGGCACCTGCCCCCAGCGAGTCCAGTTCCTCCCTGAAGTGGGTGGATGGAGGCTGCCCATTTTAGATGCTCAGTCTCTTCATTCTGTCTTTTGCTCCCTGGGGCTGCAAGGGGCGGTGCAGGCAGAGCACTGGGTGGCCATGGCAGGGCCTTTACTGGGAGGCCTGTGATGTGGGATTCTCCGATTTGCTTTCTTGGCTGGATGGAGGCTTGCTGTTCCAGGGGCTGTTGGCGCCCAGTGCAGGGGAGTTGTTAAAGCTGTCCTCGTCGTCAATGCCGTTGGCCGCGTCAAACTGGGTGTTCTCCAGCCGGGTGATGAGCCTCTCGTCCTCGTCCCCGAACTCCCCGCCCATCAGGGTGGGCTCCCCCACCACCATCACATCCTGAGAGTGGTGGAGGTCCCCAAACATAATCGGGGCAGGGGCTCGCCCGGCCCAGGGCAGCAGACACCCCCAGAGTCCCAAAACCCACCCGGGAAGCTCAATAGCACCAACCCCTTCCTCATACCCAAATTAAAAACCCACTTCCTCTGACACTCTCAGCTCCTGAAATCCTTCTCACTGAAGGATGCCAGAGCACCACAACCTTTAGCCTCTATCAGTCTACTCTACCAGCTCCCTAGTCCATCTCCCCCAAATTTTAGGGTGCTCCTAAACTTCTGTCTGCAGTAAGAGAAGGAGCTGATCAAAAATAAAAGGGAGGGTGTGTACACGTGCATGTGTATGTATTCTAGATCCACAAACATTCAAGTCTGTGTGTCCCTCTATCAGTGTAAGCGTGTATGTCTGATGGTCTGTGTGCCCCAAGCTGTCTGTCCTTAACGTCTGTATGTTCTCTTGACTATTTCCATCTCAAGCCCTAACTTCCTATGCTGAGTCTGTGTGATCACACCATCCATGTGCCTGACAAGGACTTTCTCATCAGTGAAAGGTGTCAGTCCATCCTGGCAGAGTACATGGAGAAAACTACTTCTATACCTGCTAATGAGTTCAGGTTTGGAAAGGGGTCAAGGGTGAGCAGTGGGGCAGCCCAGAAGAGAGAAGAAAGCCGAGATGCTTACAGGTACCTGGCTGGAGAGGGCGAAGGTGCTGGCTGGGCTCTTCTTCTTGCTGTTGCTATTGTTGGTGTTGCCACCCCCAGAGCTCATGGTGCTGCCCCCTGACATCTTCCGTTTCCTCCGTTTGCTGGGCTGCTGCCGGGCCGGCTCCGCTGTGCCAGAGAAAAGAGACTCAGGTGGGAGAGTACCCTGGGCCAACCTGTTCTCCATTCTGGCTCCTAAGAAGCATAAACCTACCCTGATCCCAAGTTTGAAGAACCATGAATAAGGAAGGGGGAGGGGAACTTCATAAGGAGATAAAGATACAATCATGGGGAGTGGTGTCAGATCCTGCTTAGAGCAGGTGCAAGGCACTCACCGGGGGGTGCTACCATGCGCTGCCACTTCTGGAAAAGGCAGGTCTTGAGGCAGTCACGGGGGCTGAGGCTATAGGTCTTGTGGCGGGACATGAGCTCCTGCATGGGCTCAAGTATCACACAGAGCTGAGGGCAGACCAGGAGGTGGCTTGTTATGGGAGAGACACAGAGCCAAGAACAAATGGGATAGGGCAGAAACTGGTAATCAGAGACTCACTCGGAGGTAGTTGAGAGTGGAATTGGACAGCCCACACCGGGTGATGTTTTTAGAGAGCTGATCTAACATCTGGGGGTCCTGGGCCTAGAGAGGGAGAAAAGACAAGAACACTGACACCTCGGTTACCTCTGCTCACCTGCCCTATCATCTGAGCACTGTAACACTCCTGAGAGATTAATGTGAAACCCACTTTTCAGATGAAGAAACCCTAACCCTCTGTTTGAGGTCATAGTCAGGAAATAGCAGACCTTGTTCCCCCCCTTCCCACTGCCTGCTTTCACCCTTGCATACTCAGTGCTGCCCACAACTCACATGCATGGCAAGGATGCTACGGGGGATGAGCTCTCGGTGCTGCCGGATGCTGAAGTGCCATGTCTTTATTCGCATCATGTCGTCAAACATGAACTCCAGGTACAAGCGGCCCTCCACACACACCTGGGGACAGGCTTGTCACAACCCCGCCCCCTCCCCATATACCATTCCTCAAAGTGTGCCTATTAGAGTTCTCCCCTTTGCTCATAGCTCTGCCACTGCCACTTGCACATAAACATATGGATAACTGTCACAGCACTCCCTAACTCCATATAGCTGTCAAATCCCTGGCCTTTACACACACACACAAAGAAAAGCTCAACAGATCCTTGTCCTCCCTTCATGTAGCCAGTGATAAACCCATCTGCTGTAACAGTGGTTCTCAATCTTCCTAATGCCCTTTAATACAGTTCCTGTGGGTCGCAACCCACAGGTTGAGAACCACTGTGCTATAAGCTCTATGAGGACAGGCTTTTATTTACTTGTGTACCCCTTTCCAGCAAACTGTCACATACAAAATCAGTAAACATTTACTAAATGTTGCAGCTTATGGGCCCTCCCTTCTTATTTTGCCACTTCCCATTATCCCTCCCTGGAGAATAGCTGTGAGGACATGCTGGGAGAGAGGAGGGGAGTCAAACACAGGTGCCTCAGTATTCCACAACCAGCTGGGTTGCTGACCTGGGTGAACATGGGCTTGCCATGCTGGGTCACCATGCTGCCCTGGTCACAGTCGAGGGATACAAAGTTGCTGTGGAATGCCTCCTTGGGGTGCTTAAGCACATAGTACAGCTCTGTAGCACCCCCCTCAAAGATGCTGCGGAAGTAGCGTGGGATCAGGGTCCGGCCAATGGCTGTAGAGATGGGACAAACTCTTCAGGATAGAGGGACCACTAAAGATGCCAGGCAGATGCCTCCCTGCCAAGAGATATCCCTCAGCACTTCCAGGAGTGCAAGGAGAACTACACAGGAGGTATATACTGTCATGATAGGATGCCCCAGAAAACACTCACTATATCTCTTTGGTCCATCCTCCAGGCAGAAAGTGATGGTCAGCATGGCATCATCCTCAAAGAACTCAGTTGTGAAAGCATCCCACCACAGATTGTCACACTCCTAAGAAATACAGGGAGGTGTGTGTTTATGTATCATAATATATTTCACAGGGATGCCCTGGTAGCCCTCTGGTTCCCAGCCCCTTTTCCCTTGGCCATACCTCTGTCCAGTTCTGAAGTCGTTTGTTAAGCTCAAATATTCTATAGTCAGTTTGGTTGCCATATGGTGTGTGCCTCCTGGGGGATGTGAAGGAAAGAGGTCAGTAGAAGCAGAATATCCCTCTTCTCCCAATAGAAAGCACCTTTTTCCCCACTGAACTCCACTTACCCAATCCCCGGCTCCAGGTACGTAGGTGGGTACATGGGAGTTGGGCTGTGTAAGAAAAGAGGCCATGAGAAGAAGGGTGGAAGATAGGAATCATTTGGGGAGGGTTTCACCCCTTTCCCTTTCCAGGTAGGATTCCTCCTGGAGAAGAGTTAGGATGTGGGCAAGAGACTCACCCCACATCCCGATCCAGCATGGTGCCGGGATGGAAGGGGGGGAAGGCGTTGCCGTTTGGGGGCTCCTTCGGCGAGTACAGCTTGAATGACTTTGAGGAACAACCTAGAAGAGAAAGAATTTCCCTGAGCCACTCTTGGGAGCTCTCCTGAAAGCCTGCTACCTAGACTGGGTAGATAGGGATAGGTTTTTGGGGGGCTTTTTTGCAGTTTTTGGCCAGGGCTGGGTTTGAACCTACCACCTCCAGCATATGGGCCAGTGCCCTACTGCTTTGAGCCACAAGTGCTGCCCGACAGGGATGGGTTTTATGGAGCTCCCTGGCCTGACTGCAACAAGAGAGTAGTGGACTAGGGGAGGGGACCACTCTAGGGAGTACCTATCTCGCCTTCTACATCTGGCCCCAATTTCATTTTATTAAGAACCCAGGAGTAGGCAGGGTGCAATGCCTCATGCCTATAATCTTAGCACTCTGGGAGGCTGAGGTGGACTGGACTGCTTGAACTCAGGCATTAAAGACTACCTTGAGCAAGAGTGAGACCCCATATATTTTCTAAATATAGAAAAATTAGTTGGGCATTTTGGCAGAAGCCTATAGTCCCAGCTACTTGGGAGGATGAAGCACATGGATTGTTTGAGCCCAAGAGCCTGAAGTTGCTATGAGCTATGATGCCACAACACTCTGTCTCAAAAAAAAAAAGAAAGAAAGAAAGAAAGAAACTAGAAGTATTCAGCCTTAATCCCAGCCAAAACCCAAGTCTCTACTTCTTCCTTTTTTTGGAGACAGAGTCTTACTTTGTACTTTGTCACCCTCAGTAGAGTGGTGTCATAGCTCACAGCAACCTCAAACTCTTGGACTCAAGCAATTCTCTTGCCTCGGCCTCCCAAAGTAGCTATGATTACAGGTATCTGCCACAATACCTGGCTATTTTTAGAGACAAGGTCTCGCTTGGGCTCAAGGCTGGTCTCAAACCTGTGAGCTCAGGCAATCTACCTGCCTCAGCCTCCCAAGTGGTAGGATTACAGGCATGAGCCACTGCGCTCGGCCCCAAGTCCCTACAACTTGGCTGCGCCCTGGGTGACAGAAAAGAAATTGAAGCTGGAAAGAAATGTCAATATCATAGAAAATTCAAACATTAGAGTCTAATTTTTATACCCCCCCCTTTTAACTAGTTTCATTCCATCATCACAACAACCTGTGAGGTAGCAGGGTTGACCATAACATTCCCATTTTACAGATGAAGTAACTTGCCAAGATCATACAGCTAGTAACTGGCAGACCTAGCCCTTGAGCTCAAATCTTCTAATTCCCATATCCTACACTATTTCTACTTTCTGACCCCTTTATGGCAAAGACCTCTAGAGACAAAGGTAAGGAAGGAGAAAGGGGGACTTTGTGAACTCTCTGCCCCTCCTCCACCTCCAGGGTCTCAGGAGAGCAGGGGATAGCAAGATAAGGGGGGGGGGTGCCTGTTGGGTACCACCCATCAGATAACCAGTTGGGCCTTCTACCTCCCCACCAACGGACACTCCCTTATCAGCCCAACCCCCACGCCCACCACGGGTAGAGTATTGTCTTCAAACCAGAAACCCAAAGCCTCAACCCTTTTTCTCTTCTGAGCCTTGTAGTGGGGGAGGGAAATAGATGAGCCTCTTCTGGATCCCATTCTACTTACAAATAAAAAATAGAAGGTCTGGCAAGGAGCCTGTATTCTAGGGGGCTTAGTCTAGGAGGCAAATGGTAACTAGTCAGGGGTCTCTGACTAGTTTTATGTGCCATGTGCACATGTCCCCTCTTCTATCTCATCTAGCAGCATATGGTTCCTGGCATACAATTTTCTGACTGGAAGAAGTGTTAAATTTATAGCTGGGTATAAACCGAGTACCCCTGCCACTCTGTGTTTTCCTTCCCTACAAGATAGGGGGGAAACTGAGGCACAACCCCAAAGGTTCTGATACCAAACATACTTCCACAGGTCCCCAGAACCTTACTGCATTTGAAAGAGTAGCTATAGTAGCTACATCTGAGCCCCCTCCCCAATTTAGATACTAAATCTATTTTGTTCCTTGGGGAAAAGAGACAAAAGAAGACCCTGTGCCAAAATGTGTCATTTAATTCTCTCCCCAGGGCCCCCTCCTCACAATGTAGGCAAAAGGAGGGTCCCAGAGGGGCTCAGACTACACAGTCCCTGAAGGTACCAAGAGTCAGAGCCAGTGTGTGTCTGCACACAAGTGTGCCTCATCCTGCCTGGCAGGCTTCCACCCTCAGCTCGCCCCAACATGCCTATCAAGGGTTGGAACCCAGCAGCCGCAGGCAGGATCAAGGTGCCAGCAACAGGCCCTCACTCCACATCCACATGCTCCAAAAACAGCACACACAGCTTTCCCATGCCAGTCTGGACTAAGCCTGTGTGTCTCAGGAAAGAGTCCTCACCCAGTTCCAAGTGTCTCCACTCCACAGATAGGGAGACTAAGGCCATCAGGAAAGCCCAAACTCATACAATCCACCAGAGGCCAGGCCTGGGTAATGAATCCCACAGCCTACATTCTCAGACCTGGCCCTCATCCCCTACCTAGACAGTCCTTTCCTCCAAAGCATAACTACTCCTGCCCCCTTAATTTCATAGCCACTTGAGGAAGAAATGTCAGCTGAAGAATCTGAAGAGAAAAAATGCAGGATACATGGGTCATCTTCAATTCTGAAAAAAGCCTCAGAGCCTCCTATTCCCTCTCTAAAGAACAGACAAACATTGCCTAAGGCTGGGTAATAGTTTCGAAGTGCTGAAGCCCAGAGCTCTGGGGCCTCTGTTTATACCTCCAGTGAATGGACACAAACTCAGCATCTCTCCAGAGCCATAGCAACTCCTACAAGCCCCAGCACAAAAAAGGGAGGGACATCACCCAGACCATCTGTCCCTCCGGCTGCCTGTCCCCAGCAGCAGGGATACAGGGAGCAAGGTGGGGGTGGAGGGGATATGTCATCTAGCCCTGGAGTCAGACATAGCCACCCTCTAGCAATCTGGGAGCCTTTAGGGAGGGGGAAGAGAAGAGTCCAGAACTAGTAAAGTTTTCTCAGGATGAAAGCTGCCTCCTGGGGTTGATGGGGGGGCACCTCCAGCTGGGTTTCCCAGGGTAACCAGCCAGACCTGAGGGCGGGGCCCCTCCCTTTGGGGCCTGACCATAGGTCAGCAGGCCTAAGAGCCCTGGCCTGGCCTCTACAAGCTGGGGGACTTCTCCCCAGTCAGCACACCAGGCCTGGTACAGACTGAGGGCCTTCCGCCCAGCCCCGACAGGCTTGCAGGGTGCCCAGACTTACCTGGGAGAACTGGGGGGCCAGGAGAGGTGCGGGGAGCGGCTGGAAGCCCAGAGGGGCCCTGGCAGGGGTAAGAACTGAGGGGGGCCCAACTTCAGCTGCTCATGTCCCGAGTGGGACAGACAGGCCTGGCTGGGAGCTCCACTCCGCCGGCCGCACAAAGACTCGCACGCACGGCCTCGGCCCGCTCCACGGTGGCCACAGCACCGGGGGAAAGTTACAATGGCCACTGGGCTGGGGGCCGGGGGCCAGGGGGCCAGCCCGGGTGGCGGGGGGCCGCGGGGAGTCCGGAGCCTTCTTTGTTTGCAAGGTTTCCCTCAACAATGGCTGCTCCGCTCTTTCCTCTCTCCTCCTCCTCCTCCTCGGATCTCCCCGCCGCCGCCTCTTGCTGCCTCTGCCTCCGAGCAGCCCGCCCGCCTCCCCAGGCCACCGGGCCCCTCTGCTGGGGGCACCAGGAGAGGCGGGGCCCAGCACTCACACTCACTCACACTCGCACACTCAGACACACACGCAGCGCCGCCGGCTCCCTTCCTTTCCTCCCTTTCTCTCCCTACCTCCCTCCCTCCCCGCTCGCCCTCTTCGAGCCTCTCTCAGAATGAGGCCCCAGGGCGGGCGGAGGGTGGAGCTGCCCCTACCGGCCCCGCCCCCTCCATGCGAGGCAAGGGGAAGAGCGAGAGAGGGAGGGAGGGAGAGAGGCAGGCTGGGACGGAGGGACTGCTGAGAAAAACAAAAGAGAGACAGAGAGTAGGAGAGACAGGGGACTGATTGGGCCGGGAGAGACCTGGATGGAAGGAAGGCTTGTGGGGGCCAGGAACAAAATGCAGGCTCCCCCTCCAAGCCCCAGGGGTGGTGCTCAGGAGTGAGCAGAGGACCCAAAGCCACAGGCAGGGATGCAGAAGAGTCCGCTCCTCTCAGCAGACTCCTCAGTATCTTCAAACCACCTTCCATAACTCCCCCAAATCTCTCTTCCTCGGTTGAAAGCTGGGCTGGGCTGTCACCCTGGGTTCCCCTGGTGAAATCCCAGAGCAGCTAGGGGGAGGCTCCAGGGGGTGGCTCCAGGGGGTTATTTTTGACACAGACACATTCTGACTTCAGTCTGTAAACACTAATCGGAGGGAAAGGGACCCTACAGGCTTCCCTGCCCTCAACCAACCCAGCTAAGTTCCAAGCCCTGCCTTAGATTCTCCTTAACAAGAAGCTCCTTCCCCACCACTACTAGTGAAGACCTGTGGCTGCCAGGGAAAGAGGTGCTGTTACAGCTACAGAAGGCAAACTTACCCATCTATAGGTTTCCAGAGGAGGCCTAGTCTATTGCTGAATCCTTCCCACCACCCAGGGAAAAAAAAGAGTCAGTGGACCCCTTTTTCCAATCCAGTGGGGGGAGAGGGGAACCCAAGGGAGAGGATATTTCTAAATCTTGGCTAGTGGTCCGGGCTCTTCTAGACAAGACAGGAAAAGAAAAACCCTTTCGCACACGCGCGCGCCCGCTCTCTCTCTCTCTCTCTCTCTCTCACACACACACACACACACACAGAGGAAGGTACCTCCAACTTCCTTCTTTGCAAATTGAGTGTTTGCTCCTCTACTTGCCACCCCACACACATACACACACACTATATTTATACATAACTCCAAGGACTGGATATCTCATGACATACACACTGGTAACTGTGTGAACATCTGTACACATAAATAACACATCTAACTTTCACAGAAATCATGTACTTGATACACGCTTCAACCTGCGATCTATCTTAAACCCTTAATACTCAAACCCTGCATACACCCACATCCACACACACAATGTCATACACACCTACACACCAGGACCTGTAACTCTCATGTACCCTGACCCAAACACACACCCTGAAGCTGTATTATTCCCCCTAAACCTATGACAGACTACCACATATACCCCCTGATCATTTGTTACACTTAATCCATAAACTATCCTCCCTAAACCTGCACACCATTCCTCATCTCTAGGTGGCCATATGATCCACCCCAGTGTTCACAAACATATTAAAATCTATGACATTTAGTCAGACCCTGAAACATACAGCCTACCACCATGACTTAAGACATTCCCACTGACTCCCAAATTTATAACCCAGGGATAGCCACACTCCTCCCCCATTGACAGGACAATTCTTTTTTTTTTTTTTTTCCTTTTTTCTTCTTTGAGACAGAGCCTCAAGCTGTCCCCCTGGGTAGAGTGCCATGGCATCACAGCTCACAGCAACCTCCAACTCCTGGGCTCAAGCGAGTCTCCTGCCTCCTCCTCCCAAGTAGCTGGGACCACAGGCGCCCGCCACAACGCCCGGCTATTTTTTGGTTGTAGCCGTCATTGTTGTTTGGCGGGTCCGGGCTGGGGATTCGAACCCGCCACCTTAGGTGTACGTGGCTGGCGCCCTAGCGGGTTGAGCTATAGGCGCCGAGCCGACAGGACAATTCTTACCATTTATTTTCTACCTTTAAACTTTCCAAAGTGTATTCACAGGCAGTACCTCAAGAGATCCTTAGTGCACATAAAACCAAATATCCTAACAGTGAGATCGTGATAGGAGGGCCCTGGGGCTAGAACCCTGGTTGTCTAACCCTACTAGATACAAGCCCAGCCCTGAGGCATTGCAGCCATTCCTACTCCCATATCCCTCCAGGCCTCAAATGACTGCCCACACGGGGGAAGGGGGGGTGGGTACATGCTCTGGCTTCAGCCCCCCAGCCCAGAGCTCAGAATCCCTGCCAGCCCTTCTCCTCAAATTGGGGGAATTTTAAGGGCCCTCCTGTCCTACTGTGGGGAAAGGGGGAATATCAATGCCAAGATGTATCAAGACTCTGGCATATTATCCAAAACAGGCCCTTTCCTAGTTCTCCTTCTCTAGCAAGTCTGCTCCTCTCCCTGCTCTGACCCCAATTCCCCCGTTGCACAGGGGCAGAAGAGGTTCAGTCAAAGAGTCTAAGTAAGAAGGCCTTAAAATTAGTGGTAGGCAAAGCAGCAAAAATGACAAAGATGATGAAGGAGAGTATTCTTCCTGCAGGTGAGGATTCAAAGGACAGCAGCCAGCCCTAGCCCACAGGATGAGGTACCAGCACTGCCCCCTGCCCGGGCCCCTGGGGCTCCCTGACCCAGGCCTCCAGTGTGCCTGCCCCCCTTCCTTTGTCTGTGCCCGGCCTCCCGTTGGCCTGGCGCTCTGCCATCCTCCTCTCCTGGCTCCCAGCCGCCACCACTGCTGCCTCCTCCCCTCCCCCTACTCCTCCCTGCCTTAACCCTTCTGAGCCACATGCTGCCCCAGACAGGGCCTGGCCCCCTCAGCATCTTGCCCAGGATGACGCCCCTAGCAGAGGTTCTCCCTGTCCCTAGTCATTTTAGCCACAGAAGCTGTTCCCCACCCTAGGAGCACTATGGGAGTTGGGCGTGTGTACATGTCTATCTTGTGGTGTGTCAGCGTGTGCATGTGTGTGGGTCTGCGTGTGCTCTGGCTTCCCTCAGTCACATGTGTGGGGCATGTGCTGTCTCTGCCCGGATGGGGGAGGAGGAGGAGCCCGGAGACAGCAGAGCACAAAGGAGAGACTCAGACAGTCAGGCAGGCAGGCAGCAGGCAGGCCTGCCAGGGCGCCTTAGCCCTCACCTCAGGGCTGCTCAAGGTTGGGGGGGTGGGGACCGGTCTTTGGGTCTGGACTGCTACATGCCACTATGATGCCCTTGTGTCCAAGCATGTGCTTCCACCCACCCATGCAAGCCAATCCCTTCTTTCACCCTAACTCCTACCATTCCCCATCTCCAATCTACTCTCGAGCCCCTCCCCACGTGGTTCTCCTTGAAGTCTAACCTCCATTCACCCTCTGTGGCATCAAGCCATATAATGCTTCTTCACAATCAGGAAAAAGACTCCCCACTCTTAGCCATTTTTTGCACCCTCTCCCTCAGTCAGGCCACCAGACACACAAAAGGAACATGTCTTTTAGAGAACTGACTAAAGCTGTCTGTCCCCTTACCTTCAAACACAGACACACATATCCCTGGGCATGTGTCCTCTTCCTTTCCCCATGCTGTTCCCAAAGACACTGAGGAGGAAACTTTCTCTCTCCTCCCACTGGAGCCAGGTACCCTGAGTCAACTTCAGGGCCAATCTCCCGTCTACCTCCAACCTGACAACCTTCCCCCTGCCCACTGTTTAAAAGAATGAAGAATCAAAAGTTAAGACTCCAGCCTGTAGCTTGTTTAAAGCCTTAGTTTCTGCTCTTATCGTGTGCAGTGATGGAGGTTCAGGCTTCTGGGGTGGGCTCAGAGCATGGAAAGATCTGAACAGGGTACCCAGCATGAAACAATTATAAAGGAGAAAATACATAAAACATGCACACCAAACTGGTAGGGGGGGAGATGATGGGGACAGGCAGGATTCCAGCTTGGCAAAGCTCTTCCCTCCCCTCCTTTTCTGTACCCTCTGCAGCAGGAGCCAGGATTCCCATACCTAGATATTCTAGGATCCTCGGGGTCTCTTAGCCTTGCCTCTGGGTCCCATACCCCTTAAACATCAGCCTCAGAAGACACCTGAAGTGTGTGCCCAGCCCAGCTTGGCCTAGGTCACATGATTTTCAAGGAAGCTTCCGCACTGGCAGCTTCTCTTGGGGATTGGGGTGGGAGGGTGTAAGTATGGGCCTCTTAGAGAGCTGGGCATCTGGAGGGGTGAAGGGTCAAAACCAGGCTAGATTCAGGGATACTGACTTCCAGGAGAAAGCTGACGATAGCCTGTGACAGAAGGGCCAACTCCAGGACCCAGAGTTCTGGGGACAGGGACAGACAGTATGTTCTAAGGCCCTCTGTAGACTACCTCTCCAGTCACATGGCTCCTCTATTTCTCCTGGCAGTGAAGTAGAACTTCTTCTCCTCCAGGAAAAAAATCAGACCTAGGCTGTCCCTGGCAAGAGCTGGTATGTGTTTGGGGGATTCAAGGATCTAAGCCTGGGTCCTCTCTCAAGTTTTCATTTTGGAATCAAGCAATTGCTCCCTCCAGTTCACCACTCCACAAATCACTCTATTTCCTAGCCTGCCTGGGGCTGCCAAATTCCCCCTCCCACTAGGGCAGAGATGTCAGACCCAAGGGCCCAATTATCTGGCACCCCCTAGGAGTAACTTCCGTCCCTCAGGAGGGCCACCCTTCCCTGGCAACAGGCAGGAAAAGTTGAATGGGGGACAAGATGGGCCCCAACCGATACCTCCCTGCAAACAGGGTCCACAGAAACAGCCTGAGAGGGGGTGTCACAGGCAATAGGTAGCAGGGAAGGGGGGGGGCGACCCAAGCCAGCCAATCACAACTCTATGATGACCTGAGGGGGGGGTCAAAAGTCCAGAGTTACTTCTGATTGGCTAACCACCTGGAATTCTGAGAATTTCAGCCCCCCAGCCCCTCCCCAATTAGCCTCCACCCCCACCTCAACAAACAAGCAAACAAACAAAAAACATACACTTAAGGCTACCCACAGAGCCTCCTCCCAGTGCTTTGGAGCTGCTGCGCATTTACACAGAAGGGAAGAAGCCTCTCTGCCGGACCGAGACCCCGCATGCTCCTTACAGCCCCCATCTTCCCCCCATGCCATCTACGCCCCCCAAAGTTCTTGCCAAACATGCGGTGAGGGATCTGCGAGGAAGGTTAGGCAGGGAGGGGCCAGGCTGCCGCGCGCCCCACTCACCAGGACAAGCACAGCCCACTGACATCTTCACATCGCCCGCCGCTGGGGGCCCAGCCGAGTCACGGTGCCCGCCCCTCGCGGGGACAGGCCGGGCATGAGCCGCTGCCGCCGCCTGCGGCCCCCGCTGCCCTCGCAGCCGGCCCGGCCTCGGCCCGGTACGCGCGGCCCTGGTCTGCAGCAAGGGGCCTGTCAGGCGCTGAACAGACAGGAAGGAAGCCAGGCAGGAAGGCGAGCTGCCTCTGCGTGTGTGCGTCCCGGGAGTGTGTGTCCGTGTGTGCGCGTGTGCGTGTGCGTGTCTGTGCGCTCCCGCCGCCCTCCCCGTCGTCGCCGCTCGCCCCCCTCTCCCTCGCGCTCGCGCTCTCGCTTTCCTTCTCTCTGGCGTCGACTCTCCAGCCCCAGCTCCGCAGGGCCGGGCTTTATTAATATGCTAATTGTCCTGCTAGTGGGAGGGGAGAGCAGTGTCAAAGTGACCCGGGCGAGCGCTGTGCAAGGGACTACGTGCGTGCGCCGAGCGGCGGGCGGCGAGGGGCAAGAGCGTTCAGGGAACTGCATGCATGTGACGCAGCTTTTAAAAAAGGAGACGGAGGCAGAGACCCCAGAAAGGAAGGGCGAAGAGGGATATGAGGCAAAGCCTCACTCTCGGTGTCGGTCCTCTGGGTGGCGCCGGGTTGGGAGCAGAGCTGAGCCGAAGCGGGAGCCGGCACTGAGGAAGGCGGAGCCAGGGTGGGCGGTGAGATTGTAGCTCTCTTTCCACCCGGGCCGCGCTCCAGGACTGCCGACCACCTGCCTGTGGTCCCTGCTGAGACCCCAGCCTTATTTTTAAGACCCCTTATTAAGCGTCCCTACTCCAAGCTGTTTGGGGGGCGGGGGAAGGGGCAGAATCCTAGTTTTTGTAGCAACCCTCAACTCAACCTCTCCCTGAATTAACCATTCCTCCTTTGCCTGTTAAACCAGTTGGGACGAGAGTTAAAACGGTTAATTAAGTGGGGTCCCCGCCCTCCCTAGCCTAAGGGCCAGGGATCTGCGTTTTGCTGGGAGGAGGGGACTACAGAATGACCACCAGGTTGGACTTGGGGGGGGGGCGAGATACACAGGCCCTCCTCCTCCTGGCAGGCTCTGACACATCATTCAGAACACTCTCCTCCCTTCCCCCTTTTCTCCACCCAGCTTTGGCGCCTTCCTCCCCCCATCCTCCCTCTCCTCCCCACTCCTCCTGGAAGCTACTCTCCTGTGAGGGCTTCGGAGACTGAGAACAGGAACCAGACCCCTCCAGTGCCTCCAGCCCGTAGAGACATTGGCCAGGGGTGGGAGGGTTGCTGGGGAGGGGATGATCTGGACAGTCAATGTCAGGAACACGCCTTCCCCAGGGAGGAGCCTTCCAACCTTCAGGCATTCCTCAAGGACTCCCTAACCCAGCCGTAGGAGGGGAGGGGCTCCATCTCCATCCTTTCCCAAAAGCTCAGCCTTAGCTGCCTCATAAACAGGAAATACCTATCAGCCAGGAAGGAGAAGGGGAGAGAGGCGTGGAGCAGAGTTGGCCTCCTCAATCTTGGGGGTCCCCAGTTGCTAGCTTCTCTTCCTTAAGCTTCAGGGTGGGCTTCAAGGGAAGATGCTGGGGACCTGGGCTAGTTCCCTCATTCTACTGTATCAGGCCCAGACTGGGTAGGGGTTTCTCCCCTTTGTTACTTGGAGGGGAATAAAAGGCTGTTTGATTCCCTCACTTTGGTTCAGAGTCTGCACAGCTGTCTTGACTGGGTGAGGGTTACAGATGTGGAGGCTTAAGTGTTTATGAAACCCCTTCTCGACACCTTAGGTTTTTGCTGTTGGAGCATGAAAGGATGGAAGGATGCAGAGTCTGGGGTTTGAAAAAAAGGGCCTGGGGCTGTGCCTGAGGCTCAGTGGGTAGGACACCGGCCCCTTATACGGAGGGTGGAGGGTTCAAACCGGCCTCAGCCAGCTAAAACAGCAGTGGCAACTACAACAAAAATACAGGTGGGCACCTATAGTCCCAGCTACATGGGAGGCTGAGGCAAGAGAATCACTTAAGCCCAAGAGTTTGAGGTTGCTGTGAGCTGTGACACCAAGACACTCTACCGAGGGAGACTCTGTCTCAAAAAAAAAAATAAAAAAGAAAAAGAAAAAGAATAAAAGGGCCTGCCTAGGAATGGGGACCTCCTTCTCCTGTGCTTGGGAAGTGCAGAGAGAGCTCTACACTGTGGATTTTCCCACCCTAGTTTTCCTGTCCTCATCACCTGGGGACATGACTGAAGCCATCCACATTCGCACAAGTATTTCCTTGGCAGCATCCCCTGCTTGAGCTCACTCCCTCCCCACATTCTCCCAGAGGTCAGCACTAGAGTGAGTAGAGAATACCTAAAGCCATAGAACACGGACTTGGATTTGTTTACCTAGGTTTCAATCCAAGCTTTGCCCCTCACTACCTGAATGACCTAGAGTAGATAGCTCACTACTCTACTCTGAGCTCTCCCTTTACCCTCTGTAATCATTATGTACAGCATCATGAGACTCAAACTAGATAACGTACACCCAGTCACCTAGCCTAGCCTAGTGCCAGCCACATAGTTAATACTCAGTAGACATTAGTTTGTTTCTTCTTCTTCTTCTTTTTTTTTTTGGAGACAAATTTTCACTATGTCACCCTCAGTAGAGTGCTGTGGGCATCACAGGTCACAGCAACCTCAAACTCTGGGGCTTAAGCTATTCTCTTGCCTCAGCCTCCCAAGTAGCTAGGACTGTTACAGGCACCTGCCACAACTCCCAGCTATTTTTTGATTGGAATTGTCATTATTGGGTGGCACCTGTGGCTCAACAGAGTAGGTCGCTGGCCCCATATGCCAGAGGTGGTGGGTTCAAACCCAGCCCCGGCCAAAAACGACCAAAAAAAAAAAAAGGAATTGTCATTGCTGTTTAGCAGGCCGGGGGCCGACTTGAACCCGGCAGCCTCGGTATAGGTGGCTGGCACCCTACTCACTGAGCTACGGGCACCAAGCCTCTTTCTTCTCTTTTTGAGATTATCTATATTCCAAGAGTGTTAGGATGGGGCTGGATTGGCAGATGATTTGAGATGGTGTGTGTAGAAGGGACTGTCTTGACTCCTTTCTCTAATGTCCTTGAATTTGCCTTCCTCCAGTCCTCTGACCACTTATCCCTAAGGCCAGTCATTCCAAATAACTAGCTTGGCCAGATTCCATGGTGATCACCAATCATCTGGGTAGATGAGGAGTATTACAATCCACCCTAAAAAGGTCTTTGCCTCCTCTGAATCTGAGGTTTCTCTTAGATTACACATATGGATGTGGAAGGCAAGGGAAGAAGATAAAACCGCATTTGTTTAGCATGCAGTAGGGCAGGCACTGTGTAAGATGTTTTAAATCTGTGATTTCATTTACTTTTCAGAAGGACCTTTTTTTTTTTTTTTAAAGTAGCTAACTTTATTGTTTGGCAGGCTTGGACTGGATTCGAACCCACCAGCTCTGGTGTATGTGGCTGGCACCTTAGCCACATGAGCCACAGGTGCCGAGCCATTCACAAGGACCTTTAAAAGAAGGTGTTATTACCTAGTAAACAAGCAAGAAAACTGAAATCGGAATTCTTTTTTTTTTTTTGGTCTTACTCTTGTTATATAGGTTGGAGTACATAGGCATGATCATAGCTCACTGTAGCCTCAAACTTCTGGGCCAAAGCCATCCTACTGCTTCAGCCTCCAGAGCAGGGGTCCTCAAACTTTTAAAACAGGGGGCCAGTTCACTGTCCCTCAGACCGTTGGAGGGCTGGACTTTGGGCCCTGGGACGAGTCAGCTGCTAAGTGGGCAGGCAGAGGTGGCAAAAACACCCTGCGGGCCAGATAAATGTCCTAGGTGGGCCATAGTTTGAAGATGCCTGCTCCAGAGTAACTGGGGATATAGGTGGTTGCACCGCTGCACCCAGCTAATTTCAGGGGGAGGCGGGGGACAGTCTTACTTTGTCACCCTTGGTAGAGTGCCATGGCGTCATAGCTCACAGCACCCTCATACTCTTGGGCTCAAGCATTTCTTTTCTTTTTTTTTTTTCAATTATTATTTTTTTGTAGAGACACAGGGTCACTTTATTTATTTATATATATTTTTTTGAGACAGAGCCTCAAGCTGTCCCCCTGGGTAGAGTGCCATGGCATCACAGCTCACAGCAACCTCCAACTCCTGGGCTTAAGCGAGTCTCCTGCCT